CGCCACACTATAATTTAACTATTAGAGAGAAAAAAGCTCTTTATAAATTAGTTAATAACAAAAATATAGTGATTACTTGAACAGACAAAACCTAGGGCTAGCAGTTATACCTTATAACGAATATATTAAGGCAATAAAAAGGCTGCTTAACCCAAATGATTTTGAAATTGTTGAATTTATAGAAGAAGAATGTATCGAAATTATGCAAACACATATCCTTCATTTAACTATGACTATGGATAATAAGCATAATAACTACTTCTTACCAGAAGAAACACAATTACCATTCTTCCATGCCCTTCCTAAAGTTCACAAAAATCCGTTAAAATGCCGTCCTATAGTAGGAATGCATTCATCTTCTACTAAACGAATTTCAGTTTTTCTGTCACAAATTCTAAAAAACTGGATAGAGGAATTAGAAAAATTAGATCCAGAAAATTGGACACCTTTAAGAGATAACTTCTAATTAATTTTTCAACTAAAAAATCAAAAAAGATTCAATAACATTATAACTGGTGACTTTGAATCTCTATATACAAAGTTTTCTCAACAAGAAATTCTGGAATCAATTGAATATATCAATAATAATATCTTCCCAATTCCAACCCACTACGGCTTTAAATTTTCCAAATATAAGTATTTAATTAATACGGTTATTAGCTTTAACTACTTTAAAGCACTTGGAAAAATTTTTAGACAAAAGAATGGAATAGCCATGGGAACTAATGCCGCAGTTCAAATAGCTCAACTTACATGCTATGCCCATGAACATAAGGCAATAAAAAATGGAATCTTTGAAAATATATTCTTTCGAAGATATATTGATGATATTATTATAATGGGAAATAATCTTGATAAAAATTAATAGAAATGATTTATCCCACCCATCACAAAATAAGCTGGCAACATCTAAATAATGATAAAAAAGCTAACTTTTTAGACTTATCTATTGAAATTACAGGTGATGAAATCCTAACTAAAAGATATTCAAAATTTCCATGACTTGCAGCATTCGTCCACTATAAGTCAAACCATCGAATGCATATGAAAAAACAAGTTGTTACAAATGAATTATCTAGGATTTCACTTCTCTGTTCAAATGAATCAGACTTCAAAAAAAAAAATGAATTATTCAATTTTTTAAAAGAATATAAAGGATATCCAAACTATATTCTAAAAGAAGCTGATACTATTAAGTGGAAGGATAGAGATAATATTCTTCTTCAAATAAATACAAAATGAACAGAAGACAAGCCATTACCAACTATAATTCTCCGAGTACCATATGATTCTATATTATTTAAAATGAAAAACTATTCAAAAATCTTACAAGAATCATATAATGAAACACTAGGAACATTAGGTATACAAAAGCCAGTTTTATGCCTCACAAACATGCCATCTTTAGTCAGAATCCTTGCCCGGTCCTCAACCGGGCACCCTAACCCTATCCCTAACCCTAACCAATAATTTATGACTATTAAGGACATGTGACCTAAATCGAACGAATAAATTAATTACTATAAATAGATAAAATCGGTAAAATTAAAATTAATTTAACCGATTTACGGAGATTTAATTTACCAGATAAATTAAACTCCGAATTTAACCCTAAAAGGAAACTAATTTCTGATCGGAAATTACTTACATATCTATCTTATTTTAATATTACTATATTTATCTTTACTATGAAATTACTATATTTATCATTATTTTACTATCAAATTTTTCTTTTTTTATATTTATTTTGTTTAACAGATTTTCTTTAAATAAGTAGAACAGTTTTATAACTTTTTTTTTTTTGCGAAAAATTGTAATCAACTGACGAGCTTTAATAAAAGTGAAAGTATACTATTGACTTTTCGCACTAATAAAATAAACGCTTTTTCTACAAATAAACTCTTACGCGCCTACTACCAACAATAAAACTTCATTAAAAATGAGTTCTGTTTTAAAACAACGGTACAATCAATATAAAAAACTTAACGAAACTTTTGCCAAATTCAAAGTACGTTGGTATAGAGAAAATTATGCAACCGATTTTCCAAAATCGCCGCAAGAAAATGAAAATCTAAATCAACAAAATACCTCTACCGCCCTTATCTCAACCACCGATGAATACATAAACGCACCTACATCACCAACTACAATTATCACAAATAATCCTGAATTCTCTTATCTAAGTTCTTTAAATAACTTTCAC